TCAAGAAAGATACTTTAAACAATAAGCAATGGCACAGTAAATGGCCGGCATTTACTATGTGTCGTTTTAGCCCTGCTCTACGTGTACACTACCTATTGTCTTTCTTGATACATCGACAGCATTCGTTTTAGCTCTTATTAGGATCCGGCCAATATATCTATAGATTCAAAATTTGCTAATTATTCACAAACAAGCATGAAAACAATATAACTAGCCATTTGTAGAAATTTGCTAGAAATAGCGCTATTTTAGATGCTACGAATAGCTGGAGACTTTGACCCTAACGTACGTACGTACATACGTACGTGCGTACCCCTTGTCTCAACATGATAGTCTTCAAACAATTAATTTATTAATGGAAATTTCTGATAGTGTATAATTAACCCCTTTCATAAAATTAATTATAATTAATTGATTTAGAGTAAGGCCAATATTATAATCCCATATTTCATTGTTCTTAAGTGCGATATTAGTCGATGATGAGTCGGCTAACAATACTACCACGTACTGGAAAGTCCAATTAATAAATTAATTTCCCTGCCGCTATCTTAATGCTATACTAAAAGTAGTGAACCATTGCCAATTATCTGCCACCGGAATTTTGCAGAACATACATATGAGAGTAACAATTGTATGTGTAGTTCTAAATTTGGAATTCAACCAAATTAACATTAATGTTAAATATATAATCAGTAACATTAAATGGACTCAAAATGATATATAGTGCCTTGATAACAAAGACAAATTAACCCCTGATAAATTTCCACCTCAACGATACACGTTTACGAAATTTAATAATTATGAATTATCATGAACTATTTTGAGAACAAAAGAAACAGAAGCAAATGTCAAGGATTTTTTAAACATTAAGTCATTCCAATATGCCTGAGAAAACTATAAAAGAACCTCAATTCTAACATCATCATCATCATTTGTATCCAAGTCAAACTAAGTCAAAAAACTTGACAAAAAATCAAGCACCAAATTCATAAATTCATCTATTTTCCGTCAGCTCTCTTTTAATTTTAATCTTCACCATGCTCACAAAACCATTTTTTTTCGTCACCTTGGTCACATTGAGCATTATTTCTATTGGGTTCGTACTCTCCGGACTGGCAAGTCCTCTACCTAACGATTCCCCTCAGCTTCTTCAACGCAGCACCTGCGGAGATGGTCGTTATTATACTGTAAATAAAATAATGACTATCCCATGTTATGTTCCAGTCAGAGGTTGTAAGCTCTACGTCGGCAATTATATGATTCCTTATAGAGCCATGGAATATGATCAAGGCGGAATTCGTGTTGATTTTAATAAGTGTGACGGTTTCGATTATAATTACAAGCCTGTAAGGATGGTTGTCCCACATTACGGTACAAGTTATGTGCGTGTCAGTTCTAAACACAAGAGTTACGACTATTCAGAAGAACATAGTTCTAGTTCTAGTTCTAGTTCTAGTACTAGTAGTCATAGTAAGTTGCATGTCACTTCGGATACTAAGTGTGATAGTAGTAGCTGTGGAGTTGGTAGTTGTTACTGTTAGAAATAATTTGCAACTTTCATAAATATTTTTGATTTCATGCACAAGAGGTTTAGAAAAATTAGAGACTTTTTGTTCATCAAATTATATGAAAATTTTTTTCAATTTATGAATGTGACAATGCTTATTGTCTTAAAATATATTACCACAGTTGATTTTTTTTTTATATAATTCAATTAATAAAAAATCATTTGATATAGTATTATTTACTGTTTTTTTGAGTGTATTTTGAGTGTATTTTGAGTGTATTTTGAGTGTATTTTGAATGTATTTTGAGTTTTGAAAATTTAGCATACATGCCTACAATCACTTCACTGATACCAGCTTACTAACAATTATCTCACCAACCATAATTATCCACAAAAATCAGGTAGTAGAGTTAAATTTTGAATTTTGTGTTGTAGTTACATTATTATGTGACTATATTGTACAATATAATGATAATAATTACAACTTTTCTATTAAA